CTCATGCCGGCTGTGATCAGTTCATTCAGTATGACCTCTGACCTCGGTACTGGTCGTTGATCTCATTCAATACCACATCAGAACCTGATCTGGGCTCTTCTGCTGCAGTTATTGTCCTGTCGTCCATCGGGTTGCCTGCAATTACAGAAAAAGAGTTCACATTTTGCACTTCTTAAACAATAGACCTAATCTGGCCAGTGTAGAAATATTGATTATACAACGATAAATGTTTAAAAGTATAAAAGATGTTTTAATTGACTTTGATTAATTAAAGGAATAGTTCACCCAAAAATGAAAATTTGCTGTTTTTATCAGCTGTTTGGACTCTCGTTCTGAAGTCACCCATTCACTGCACTGGTGAGCAAGTGATGTAATGTTAGATTTCTCCAAAACAGTTCTGATGAAGAAACTCATCTACATCTCGGATGGCCCGAGGGTGAGTAAATTTTCAGCAATTTTTCATTTTTGGGTGAACTAGTCCTTTAACAATAGGTTCTGTTCTGTCTAATTTAAATCAAGCTGAATGTATGTGACTAAAACAGAAATAATAAAAGAGAACGTGGAAGAGGGTTGTGCTACCATTTAAAAATCAGTTAGCATCACCTGCTGTTTCAAATAGGAATTTCAGGTTATAAACATGCGGAAAGCTGATTAACAGCCCGTCTAGCAGGTAAATACTCACCAACATCTATAGGTGTATCAGATGCCAAGCTGTCATGGTTTAGGAAAGATGAGCTAGAATTGTTAGAATTCGTCGAGCGGAATGAAAACATTCTTTTCTTGGAGGCTTTGTTTATCTTCTGAGTTGCTGTGCGACTCCATTCTGTTGCGTACAAGAAAGAAAGGCAGTAATTAGATGAATACATGACATAAAAGCAAGTTAGTCATTTGCAAGAACTTACAAAGGCCTCTTACCTGAGTTTTCTGCCAGCCTCAGGCTGCCACAACACAGGTATGTCCTCCATTGTCGTCTGACGTTTTCTTTCATGGCACAATGGAACACAAAGATGAAGAATCCTGCAAGGGAACAGATACATTCTAGCATCAACAGTCCATCAGAATGCTAAAAATAAACCTGACCTGTGTCACCCAATAATGTTACGGATTCCACAAAGGAACTCTGGCACAGTGGGTTGCGTAATGTGAAACTAATTTAAGTAGCACCTGAACACAACAATCCTGAGAAGTGGACAGTGTTAAAAATTATTACTGTTCACTAGTCTGGATTCATTCATTCATTCATTCACTACCATTCAAACGTTTGAGGTCATTAATATGTATATATTTCTAATGTAATACATTTATTCTGCAAAGACATTGATCAAAAGTGACAGTAAAAACGTTGACATTCTACATTAACATTAAACACTGTACATTAAATGTTACTTGAGCACCAAAAAGAGATGATCTTCAGCATGGCGTAAGGATGCTGAAAATTCAGCTTTACCATTACAGGAATAAATTATATTTTAATAATAAATTGACAATTAATACATTGTAATAATAAGATAATGCAAAACATTTTTAAAAAATCTTACTGATCCCAAACTTTTGAATGGTAGTAAAAAAATATATATATATAACTTGCTCGCCAGAGACCCATAAATATGTTAATAACCTTGCAAGGGACCCCCTTCCAATATAAAGTCAGCCATATACAGTGGGTACGGAAAGTATTCAGACCCCCTTACA